AAACTTGGAAACAACGTCCAGTGGATTGTTTTTTTTTTTAAATGACTGGAAATCTTCAGCAGCATAAGGATTCCTACCTCCATGCAAATGTTTGGGGTTAGTTTTTTTTTAATCTCTGAAATAGATCAAAATTTAGATCATAAACATTTTCTCCTGCCTTCAACAATAAAGAGTGCAGTAGATGGCCTTTCCTAAAATGTATTCATAATTCCTCAGTAAAATACAATAATTCCAGTAAATAAGTGAGTGTAGTGATCTGAATTTTTTAGATAAATTTCCAGCTTTCTCCTGACGCATTTTGAGGCACACCTTGAGGAGCTCAACCCTAAGCTGGGAGTATGAATGTTTGAGGTAAGGAGTAGGTAAACATAGCTATAGTTAACAAGCACTTTGAGGGGTCAGGATGCAAGGAAAATGCTACATAAATTAAATCCAGTCATTAAGTAATATGTTGAAGCTGTTTATTTTTAAAGCCTGGCTTTGTGTTTGGTTTTAGAGCGATGAGGCATGAAGACATACTTAGACTCATACTTCTTTAGTATCTGTATATAACTTTAATTTTACTCTTCACCTTTTTAGATCAGATACAGACACCACCTATGTTGTGGTTAGTTTGTTTATGAAAACTCATATATTTTTACATTCAAAGTATATCTTGAAAAACTTTAGGGCAACTAATACAGATTCAGTGTTCTAGATTGTCCAACTATTCAATAATGTTAATTCATCAGAGCATATAATGTAACTAAAAAGCTAAATAATAATTTAGTTCGTGATATCCTACGGTTTTTTTTTTTTGTTTTTTTTAATCAGTATCCTCACCCTGTTGTCCATCTGGATGCATCCATACTGTATAGGCTCCTGGATCAGCTGCGCCTCAGTAACAAGGTAGTGCAGCACAGACAAAGCTCCCCCGTGGGTTTGGGCTCCAGCTGGAACAGCCATGCAAGGCCAACGTGTCCCTATTATTGTTTGTGACAGAATCAAGAAGGACATGAAAGTAGTTGAAAAAAAAGAAATGCATGCACCGAGCCTGTGTTTTGGGTTTTTCTGTGAGTGCCCCCATTGTAATTATGGGCATGGGTGGCCAGCAATGACAGCTCATCTGTTAGCAAGCCAGCAGGAGTGTGCAGCACCTGGTGAGCCTTGCGCTAGAACGATGAGCCATGAACACATGAGTTTATAATCATATGCAAATTTTTATATGAAACAAGAAAAGACACTATTGTCACATGTACTAACTTGCCGATTATCAACACAAAGTGGAAATTATCACTCACATCCCTTTTTGATGTATCTCGTTTACCTGCAAATTAGTTGAGAAGGCAAAGGCTGTACCAATTATAATTATTTGAAAATAAAATAAGATTACTCTTGTACCAATTATAATTATTTGAAAATAAAATAAGATTACTCTTGACATGTAGTCACTGCTCATTAACAGACAGGGGCCTTATGTTTTGAATTACCTGTAGATTATGTAATAATTCAAACTAAATCTTTTACACAGGTTATGGAACATTGCTGGTAATGCCAGCAAAACCTATTTATGTCATTATCGGTAGAATTTAGACATAAATATTCCTTAAATATATTGTTGAACATAAACTTCAAAATTGGGATATTTTTTGTCACAATGGTTCTGATGTTATATAATCTGTAAAATAAAAAAAAAAACTTTTTTGAAAAAAGATTAATACCTTTAAGTTTTTTCCTTATATGGGTAGATGTTCATTCCTCTTAGCTCATAAAATGACTGTTCAAACCAATTATTATGCAGAATATTACCTGTGCAGAGAACATTTTTTGTCAATTTGACCATCTCTCCTCTTAAGCCAGTGAGGGATTCAATCGGTTTCTGCTTTCCCTTAGACAAAGCCCCTCCAATCAGAAATGAGTAATGACTGGATAGGTTGGCATGCAGTGATCCCAGCTTTCTAATTAGTCTTCCATTAACTTGTTCAACCTTGGAAACTGCAGGGTGCACACTCAACATGCACACATTTTGCAGCTTCAGACCAAATGTTGGACATCCACTCTAAAGTCAAAGATCTAAAATGAGGTTACTGGGCCCATTTTCTACTTTATAGTAATCATTTCAATCATGCTTGATATTGCTCTAGTTGACCAGTGAAACATTTCGAGTTTATTTCTGGTGCCAGTATTCTTCACAAAAACTCTACAGATGTATCTTTTTGTCCATTCTACTTTTTAAAAAGCTCAAGTATAGGCAAACTGTATAGTAAGTTCATGTGTCTTACTTTGATTGGGCAAATCTAATACTTAACTATATGCTTTGATTAGAATGATTTCATTAGGATTCAGGTTTTAACTTTGACTTGGCCACCCCAGTTGGAATAATTTTGCTGTTGCTCCAACTGTGTTTTTATTGTTTTGTTGATGTTTTTGACTGGTCTCTATTGCAGCTTCCAGGATGGCCAGACAGCAATATCAACAACCTAAAGGGACGACTCTCAAACAGAGCCGAACCCTAGCCCATATTCTAAGGAGGAATGATTACAGAGATCAGTACTGAGGCTAATGTCAGATAACAGATGCGTGTTGCTAAAGCATTCTAATCAACCTGATTAGACTGTTAAATTACCAAACCCGATCTTAGGAAGAATAACTTTGTTTCAATCAGCTACGCAGTTTCTTTCCCTTTTAAATTGCCTTCTTGCAGACTTAACAGACCTTAAGTCATTTATCTCTGTAATGTACATCAATGATGGTGATTATTTTTCATCCATATTCTAACATTGCACATAGCTTATGTCAAGCAAAAGCAGTTTATCAATCTTTGAAACCGCATTCATTAACTTGACAAATATTATGTTTTGTTTATCATATGAAATGCCTGTAAAATACATTGAGATTTGTGGTTATGATTTGATAAATTATAAAGAAATTGAAGTTGCATTAATACTTTTTAGAGCACTTTCTATGTAAATGTTTCCTACCAATTCTTCTGTTCTTACTCCTTTTATTTTGCTTGCCTTCATTAAAACAGAACAGGAATAGAGCAGGAATTGTGCATGTAATTTGGAAGCAATGCTATATAAATTGGGTATTTCAAAGTGTGTAAGATCAAAAATGGCACATGCATGTGTTCTTTTAGGTTTTTCTTGTTTGAATACACAGAGCTTTTTTGCACACCAGGGGAAGAGGTAATGCTGGTACCATGTACTTTGAAAAAGGGAAAGAGACAGAGATCGCCTTCTCTGTTCTGTCTGATTCATTTTAGACTCCTACGAATTTTTGGCCAACAATTTTTGTTTGGGTACAAACAGAATGTCAATGTTCTACACCCACATTTCTGCTTTCTTTTCTGTGTTTTGGTCTGGTTGATATATGTCAAAGTCCATTCAACGTGTTTCTGATCTGTGGAATAAAAGAACAGGCCTGAGCCTTGTGTTGAATACAATACAATGCTTTAGGGACACCGGGAATAAAAGAACCCTGAAAAAAATATGCATGACATGGATGCACAAGATCTCAATCAACTCAGAGCATTAATGATGTTAAAAACACCACAGCATAAAGATAATTGAAAACCCTCAGTGGCTCAGCATATTTCCATGCTCTTTTCTTTCTGTATGATGCAAAACATCAATCCAAACTTCATCCCGTATCACAGTTGGCGAGCGCTTTTAGAATGGAGTGCCACAAAACTATGATAGAAAATCCCAGGGAGCTGCTGTCGTTTGGCCTCTCAGCACCCAGTGGTGTGCTCTATCTTGGCGTGATATCTTTTTTTTTTTTTTGTGAGCCTATGCCTTCAAAGGAGACTTCAAGCTTCCTTTTATTTCCTATCAAGGTTGAATAATAGAGAGAGTAAGTCTACAGACTGTAAAGAAACCTCTATCAAGATAACCAGCAAAAAAAAATGCTGTTTGACCCCTCTCATAATATATA